GGCATGCTGGCTGATATCTGAACAGAGGATGGGCCAGAGATATCACTGCCTTGGTCTTTTCACTATTGGTTGCTACTTCCCGGTGGATGTCAGGTGGTTCAGTACCGGCTAAACAGTGTAATTTCTCCAGTGGTGTAAGGCGCAGACACCCCGTGATAATGTGACATGTCGCATTAAGAGCCACATCCACTGTTTTAGCATGGTGATATGTGTTCCACACTGGGCATGCATACTCAGCAGCAGAGTAGCAAAGCACAAGGGCAGAAGCTTCCCCACAGGATTGCAAGACATCCGGGCAACCCCTGGGCAACGTCTTCATAGAAGGCTGATTCTCTCACTCCAGAAGCGACCAGAAGTGATTTGCAGCATGCAACCTAAAGATAATGTTCCCAAGGATATTAAAATTCAGGTTGCAAAATTTAGAATTTGCATTTTAAATGTGTAAAGAAACTCGGGTTGTTTTTACCTGTGACTCATGTGTGAAGTGCACTGTGTTTTAAAAAAAGTCTAATTCATCAGTTTGTGCCATCCTTATTGTCTGAATTATAACCTGCTTATTTCCCTTCAGTAAGCTATAATAGAATTTACATTAAACACCTTTTCTCATAAAGAGATTAATCTCTGTGTTTATAAGACAGGAAAAGCTAATGTATGAAACGGTCATGATCAAGTGTGCATTTCTTAGCTCCATGACTAATAAGAGAAATAAATGATAGGCCTGTCTCAGTGATGCCTTTGGGATATTTATGAGCCTCTTTTCTAACAGTCTTCCTCCCACTGGAGAATCTGGAGTTTATTTACCTAATTTAATATTTCAATTGTAGGTAGAAAAATATTGAAAAATTCTGAGAGTGAATTTGTATGGAGCAGGATGAGTATGGTTTGTTCTGTTTGTTTATGTGCTGGCTGTATGCAAAGGATTAAATCTTTATATCTATGCTGTCATTATACTCCCACTCTACAAAATGCACTCTTTTTGTTACTCTGCTCAGGCACTTTTATTTTGATGGCTGTAGAATGTGCATCATTTAGCAGCTGTTTGTCTGCTTTCTGCTGTGCTGTCCCATTTATTTTGTCTCTGCAGGTGGTTTTTTTTAATGTTTCTGTGACTCTGAATCACAGCAGCTTGATAGAATACCACTAAATAGTACTACTGTTCATAGAGAACATCTGAATGCTGATATCAGTGTAACGAAGCTCCAAACTTGCTAGAATTTAATTGATTGTGTGGATGGCTTCTCTCTCGGTTTCTCTCCTTTTGCATGTGAATTCAGGAACAGATTGTAAAGCCCTTTCTACTCAACAGCATAGCCTTATCCTAGCAATAAATCACTGGTATTTTTGTCTTCTATACTTTCCTTGCTTTCCTGTTATTTCTGCAGATTGTTGGCCATACTGAGCCTTACAGAACAGTTTTTGCTTGGACATTCTAATTATTCACTCTGGTTTCCTTCCATGCTCTATTTAAAGCATATGCAGTGGAAGCGAGAACAAGATCATATTCCAGAAGGTGCTGTATTGAAACAAGGATCTGCTTCTTCTGTTTCGTGTCAATTTGAAATATTTTTATTAGAATTCATGGAGCTTAAGCAGCAATATGGATCAATGTGGACGGCTAATATGGACTGGATGGTCTCTTGTAGCAGTTCATTTTATGGTAAATGAAGCACTGTAACCTAGTTGCTTCATGGTGTGACAGTATCAAAAGGCATTTGGTGGTTAAGCTTGTGAATCTTACTATGCATTATTAATTGGGAAATACAGATTGAACATTTCTTTTCTGAAATGCTTGGAACCAGCAGTGTCATGGATATGAGGTTTTTTGGATTTTGGAATACCGATATTCATATATACATATATCATGAGATATTTATGTTTCTTATACCCTTTATAAACATAGCCTGAAGGTAATTTTATAAACAATATTTAAAATAATTTTGTGCATGAAACAAAGTTTGTGTACACTGAACCATGAGAACATCATCATGTCATTGTCTCTGCCTCCTGTATGAACAGTTCTGGAATATTTCAAATTTTGGAATTTTAAATAGGGGATGCAAACGAGAAGCTCGGCCTGTCATTGAACATTGAGAAAACCAAAGTCCTCTTCTAGCAATCACCAACCAACCCACCTGCAATGCCAGAAATACAGCTCACTGGTGTAACATTAGAAAATATTTACCATTTCCGCTATCTTGGCAGCCACCTCTCCACAAAAGTCAACACTGATACTGAAATACAACACTGCATTCTTCTGAATGAAGCACAGGGTGTTTGAGGACCGGGACATCCGTAGGGATGCTTGTTTACAAAGCTTTTGTCCTCCCAACCCTGCTATATGCCTGTGAAATGTGGACTATCGACAGCCATCACATGCAACTCCTGGAATGATTCCATCAGTGTTGCCTCTGAAAAATCTTGCAAATCTCTTTGGAAGACAGATGGACAAATGTCAGCTTGCTGGAAGAAGCAAAGATCACCAGCACTGAAGCGATGGTCCTCTACTATCAACTCTGCTGGACTGGCCACATTATCCAAATGCCTGATCACCGTCTCCCAAAGCAGTTGCTCTACTCCAAACTCAAGAACGGAAAAAGAAATGTTGGAGGACAGGAAAAGAGTTTTAAAGATGGGCTCAAAGCCAATCTTTAAAAAATCTTTGGCATGGATACTGAGAACTGGGAAGCCCTGGCCCTTGAGTGCTGTAGCTGGAGGTCAGCTGTGACCAGCAGTGCTGTAGAATTTGAAGAGGCATGAATGGAGGGTGAAAGAGAGAAACGTGCTAAGAGGAAGGCATGTCAAGCCAACCCCGATCAGGACTGCCGTCTACCTGGAAACCGATGCCCTCACTGAGGGAGAACATGCAGGTCAAGAATAGTGCTCCGCAGTCACCAACGTATCCACCGCTAGGATACCGCACTTGGAGCACAATCCCTCAGGCATTGAGGGATCGCCTAAGAAGAAGAAGAAGAAGCACAACCTATTGCTACAATATATGGTTATCACAACATCTGCAGTAAGCTTGAACTGATATTCCTAAAGAGCACATCATATTTTGTTTATGACAAGTTATGCACCTGAAGGTAGATATGTTTTGATTGAACAGTGCCACCCGGTATCTACTAGAGGTCTGTTTTAAGACTCCCTCGGAGAGCATGGATAATATTGAAACCTATGTTTTGACTCAATTTCGGCAGGAAACATATCATAACATTGCACTAGAAGACATAAGGAGACCCACAAAAATTACTGGGATGGGAGACTGAATTTTTTTGTGGGGGGAATGTAGGTTAATGAGAAGATGGCTATCTCATTCACAGGGGGTCATACTGTACTAACATGTATAAGTTGGTTACTTTAGAAAAATATAGAAACAGCACTTACTGAGTGTCAGTAAATGCAGGGGTAAGAGTGATGGATTAGGATTCTGGGAGACCAGGGGTTGAATTGAGGCCAAGTAGTTGACCTTGGACATATCACATTCTCTGCTTTGAAGGAGGGTGATGACAAACCTTCCCTAAACTGATTTTGCCAAGAAAGCCTTATGATAGGTTCACCTGAAGGTTGCCATAATTGTGAAGAACTTGAAGGTACACAATACGTATCACTTACACCTGCAAGAACAGCTACAGACATACTTTTGAGCTTTCATAGGCATTAGGTTTAGTTATTATAATGTAAAGAAACAATTTATGTAAGGATCAATCCATAACCTGACAGACACATGTAAATTGTTAGCGTAATTAGTGTGTCCTTCAGGGTCTTGACCAAATACAATTGCAACATGCTAGAGTTTAAGTAAGTATGGAAAGTCCCTGTTATGACACATTAAACAGAAAATTTGTTTAACTGGATAACAAAATACACTCTTGCTCATGAATAGTTCCCCAGTTACACTGAAACATTATTTTCTTGTTGACTAAACTACTTCATAATTTCTTCTGATTCATGCAATGTTAACATGAATATGCATGCTCAAAAGTATGTCTGTAGTTCAATGGGACTTACTCCCCAGTAAAATGTAAATGTTTCTTCTATCCCTCACTTCCAATCTTTCTCTCTTAAAATTCTTATAAGGACCAGTATATAATTTCTTCCTGTGTTTCTTAATATTTGTTCTATTGATAGGGGCTGCGGTTGTGCAGCAGGTTAAACCACTAAGCTGCAGAACTTGCTGACCGGAAGGTTGGCAGTTCGAATCCGCAGGACAGGATGAGCTCCTATTTTTATCCCCAGCTTCTGCCAACCTAGCAATTTGAAAACATGCAAATCTGAGCAGATCAATAGGTACCACTTTGGCAGGAAGGTAATCACGCTTCATGCAGTCATGCCAGCCACATGACCTAGGAGGCATCTATGGACAACGCCAGCTCTTTTGCTTAGAAATGGAGATGAGCACCACCCTCCAGTTTCAGACTTGACTAGATTTAATAAAATTGAATGGCAAATCAAGTCCTACTCTTCCTTCTTCCCTTTGTGGCAATAATCTGAATGGCAAACTGAATGGCAAATCAAGTCCCACTCTGCCTCCCCCTCCCCTTTGTGGCAACATATCTCACAGATTCTTGTAAGAATTTCTGAGCACAGGGCTTTTGGTGTCATAACCATGACATCTTCCTCCCTGCATAAAAAAATAAATTGATGGTGACCTAGGGGTGAACACCACATAAATTACCACAATGACTGATAGTGACTTCTTTGAACAGATCATTTGCCTTAAGTCAAGAAAATCTTCTTTGTTGGGCATGTTGTATTTATAAGGAATTCTTTGGACTGCAGAAATGGTGTGCCTGCAGATGTTATTAGATCTGGTTCCCATCAATCCTACCCAGTATGGCAAATGGTAAGGCATGATGGGAATTCTGCCTTGTGAATATCAGAGATGCCAAAGATGCCATCTTTGCTCTAAATACTTACTTCTACACTGCCATGTTTTGGATGATGATTTGTAGTTCTAAACATTTCTCACCTTGTAAATCAACATGTCTTAACTTTGTTAGGAAAGTGGAAATGTCTGCTTCCTGTTACATGAAGGAGGCTTCATGGAGTAGATCAGAGGGTTCTCTGATTGACATGGACAATGGAAATCCTGCAAGGAAAGATTGGACAGGTATGTTGCCAGTAGCCTATTTTCTCAAGCACAATTCTAATCACTGTTAGTGTTTGTATCAGAAGGGATGCATTTATAACATAGCAAGGGGTTTGTAAAGTTACAAGCAAACTGCATTCCTCTCAGGGCATTGGATCCTTCTAGAAGAACAGCTCCACTACTAAAAGGTGTAATGATTCAATTATAGGAACAACCCACCCCAGGGCACCCACTTCAGCAGACTCTCCTGACTGTGTAATGTTTTCAGTGAGATAGTGAGAAAGTCTGCTTGTATCATCTGAATTGCTCACCACTAAATCTGGATCCAAACCAGTATATCTGATGTACATGAAGTTCCATATATAAAGTCATGGTAATAACTGTAGGAAAATCTTTGCAAGCTGTCAAAAATGAAACAACATAAATAACAGGAGAAGAGGCAGCTATTTGATATGATCTTTGGAGTATGCTCAAATAGGGAGAAATGCTGTTCATATCAGGTGTTATTTGAATGTCCTCAAGGGTCTTTCAGAGGACAGAGTGAAAAATAAAAGCATGGTTTTGTATGTCTTGAATTTCATTTAACAGTAATTTTCATACATAGTTATTTAGAAATCAGCCCCTTTGAGTTCAGTGGTGCTTAACTCCCCAGTAACTAAGTGCAGGGTTGCAAAGTAACTGCAGATTTCTACTCTGAAGCAAGTTCCACTGTGTTCAATGGGTGTTTATTCACTTCACATAAGACTGCAGGCTGAGTTTGGCCAATTGGTGGTACACAGTTTTATTTTGGAAAAGTCGCAAATACTTCCCAAAACAAATACTGCACTATGACTACATTAGCCTTTTTCAGGTTTTATCAGTCTACAGAACATGAACAGGAAAAAAATTATGGTTATGCAAATCTCATCTCTGTCATTTGTTTCTGCTAAATTTCCTGTTTAATTGTCAGACATAGATTCCCACATAAAAGCTGAAGCTGTATATTTTAAAAATGAGCAAGTGAATGTGGACAAAAAGAAAACATGACTACAGTCTTATACATACACATAAGGTGTAAATTAACACACATTTACCTGGCAGTAAGCAATCATGTAGTATTGCATCATGAATGCATATTTTATGTGGTGTCTTTAAATTAATGCAAGGAGAAGAGCAGTATCTTGGCATATGCACTGTAAGCTTACTTAGCACCCTTCTTTTTTTTCAAAAACAGATGAAAAGGAAAATGAATTTGATTTGAAGTTCCGTTGGTCCGAAAAATTTAAGCAAGGTGCTCCCAGTGGATTCAAGACAAATCCATTTTGGAATGAACTGTCAGCATCAAACCCATTTTTAGATGACGTAGCTCAATCAAGCAACAAAGAAAAAAGTGACAGGCGTATATCAATTTTGAAAGAAGATCCTTATTTATTTCATAGAGATTCAAATACCAGGCATTCCGCCGCTTCATCTGGGGATGAATTAAATATTGATTATCTTTTTCATCGCAAAGCATCGAGGAGGTCTACAAAATCTCGGAGTGTTTCAGATCTTTTGGATATCGTAAACACCACGACTTTTGAACTTTCCAGCACAGCAACATCCAACCACATTCTACCTCCAGATAATGAATCACTTCAGAATGATCGTGAAGCTTATAAGACAGCGTGGCTGAATCAAAGGCAGCTGGCCCGATCTTGCTTGGATTTGAATGTGATAAATCAGAGTCTAGGATGGGCACAAACTCAATCTGTAGAAACCCACATCGTGTGCAAAGTGAATCATGAGGGCGGTTCGGTGCAGCTTCCTGACTCGGATATTGCTGTTCACTTCCCTGAAGGTCATGTACCATTTGGTGAATTCCAAGAGGTTGGATTACAGGCTATCCTTGACTCTCCGTCATCACTTAACCATGACTTTTCAACCACTGTGAGCCCTTTAATTGAACTGACATTAAGTAACCTCAATACCACAGAAGCCATTTTGCTAGAAATGAAAATTGCAGCTGAAATAAAGAAGGATCCTTTTAGTCAAGTTATGACAGAAATTGTTTGTCTGTGCAGTTCCAGTAAAGAAGGTCCATTTGAAAAAATACACAACTGTTACATTTATAAAGATACCATCCAAGTGAAGCTGACAGACCTGAGTCACTTGATGTACGTTATCGCTGTAGCCCAAGTGAATGCAGTGAATGCTCCTGCAAGCGCTTGGGAATATATCCACAGAAAACTTTCAGTGGGAATATATGGACCCAAACACATCCATCCATCTTTTACTGTTGTTTTTGCTCTCTTTGGCCACAACTATATTCCAGAGAAGCTCACAGTATGTGGTATTAAAAAAGGTGGGAAGAGTATGCCCCCAGTTGTTTTCCAACTATGGGGGAAGCACATATTTGAACTGGAGAAGCCGCAAGACCTGAACATTTTTGTGGCTTCCTGTGACCCTGATTTTGAAGTGAAGGAAGTAGATCAAAGGAAAGAAGTTAAAGAAGACACATTGAAAGGCGGTGGCCAGGTGATTCAAAAACACTTTCCATTTTCCATACTCAACACAAGAAAACTACATCTTTTTGTCTTCCGTGTCCAAGTTAAAATCCCAAACAACAACTTGGTGTGCCAGTTCTACATTACAACTCCTGAACCGGCTCCAAAGCCGTTAAGAGGAATGTTCAACCAGCCAAGCCAATTGGGAAAACGCAAGGAGGTCAAATCTGCACCGTTGTTATCAGTACCAACCATAAAATACCCAACATTTCAAGATCAGGATTTAAATGTTAAGAGGTATGGCATAGCTTTGAAGACTGTGTTGCGTCAAAGTAAAATTAACTATTTGCTGGAGTATTTTAAAGGGGACACAATAGCGCTTCTTGGTGAAGATAAGGTAAAAGCCATTGGACAAGCTAAAATAAAAGAATGGTATGTAGGAGTTCTTAGAAGAAAGGTGGGCCTTGTACACTGCAAGAATATCAAAGTGATACCCAAGGACCAAGCCATGGATATTGAGGATAGCACAATCACAACTGATGGCCTTGCTGAACAAATTGCATTGCCTTTTAAAAAACTGACATATATCTATTCAGCAATCTTATCCACTGTATCAGAGAGAATGTATGACTGGAAAGCTTTGGCTAATGCCCTTCGATTTTCAGACATGTCCCTGGGTGATTTCAGTGAATTACAAGCTGAGAAAGAATCGGAAAAAGTTGCTTATGTTGTGAAGAAGCTAAAGGAAGTTTGCCATGCGAACAGAAGTACGAGGCGTTTCCTTTATGAGCTCTGCGTTGTAAGTATTGCTTGGATGGGCTATACTAGTTCATGTGCAATGAAATTTGGCAGTAATAATTTGAGATAATTTGTCATGATTATGGTTCTCTTACTGCAACTCAAGGCCAACAAAGCTGTTATAAAATAGAAAGCTTGCCTTGTAAGCCATGCAGAGAACAGCTGCAGTGGAAACTTCTTAAAACTCTGCCCTCCTCATGTGGTTTTCCCATATTCACTTATATATGTTTGCTTGATCAAAGGTGAATGTGGAAATGTTCAGTATTTTATAATTGTGTGAAAATGTGGGATGGGGAACAAAAGTTTTGGACAGTCAGGAATCACTGCTAATTTATGTCCATTTAGTTTACTGTCAGATAGACAGAGCCTGGAAAAGGCTTACAATTGCTTAGCAAGGGAAGGGTTACTTCCCTTGACCTCTTGCCGAAGAATCCAAAAAGCATTCTCGGAAATAGAATTGCCTAAATCCCAGCTATTACAGATCCACCCCAAGCATTGGAATATATATACGAGTTAATTTACCATCAGATTGATGCAATGCATCCACTGTATTAGGAACCAACAATTAGATTTAGTCCAATCCTGACAATTCATTTTTTCTTTGTTCAGCATCACCTCCATACCCTTCTAAAGTCAGAGGTTGAGAATGAATGCCTTCAGAACTTTGGGGCTAAGTCTCAACACTCCAGTACAGGATTGAAGAGTTGGGGAATATGTGTTCCCCACATAAACTGTGCAATCCATTTCCATTGCTCCTTGTCAGTCATAGGCTGATATGGTGGCCAATGTTGTAGTCTGAGGAAGTCACATGGTTCATGCACAGCTACTCAATTGGTTTGCACTCTCTTTTCAAAGGCTCACTGTCACTCATCAAATCCAAGAATCTGGTTTTCACCCCCTTTTTCAATATGAGACAAAAATAGGGACTCTGTTTCTATTGTTCCCAAGTTGTACTTTGACCCCTCTTGCCTTGCTTGATCAATCTACACCTCGACCCGATGTGGGGAATCCAGGTTAGATTATGTCAATCCTTCTGCCATCTTCTGTTTCTCTTCCGACAGTTCACAGTCTCTGGTGACCTTCTTCCCATCTCCTCTGTTCCCTGAAGTCAGGGTATTTATCCTCTATAAAATGAGCGACTGTCTTGACACCAGACTACATACATTTGGTAGACTATTTTTACTCGTTTCTAATCATTCCTCTCCTTAAATCAGTTTCAGATGTTTAATAGCCTCTTTTTTATTCCAATTAGATACGTCCCTCTCCTTCTGTGCTGTCCCTTGCCTTCTAGACTACTTGAAACAAGAGTGGGGAAAATTTACTCTATTCGCAAACCTATCTCCTGACTGCAACCCTCTCATTGTCAAAAATGCCTGAAAAGTGTTGATACATTGATTGGCTCACTTCATTACATTTTTGTGGAAACTATAGCAACTACAGAGATAGCTCTGTTCTCTGTAAGAATGTATGGACATCAAATAATACAGTGGATGAAATGGACCTATTTCTGGCATCCTACCAAATCTGGTGTGGACAGCTGTGTGTGGGTTGGGATCCAGTTTCCCCTGTTCCTCCCATGGGCTACACCCTTCCCCAACAATAAACTGAAACTATATTTTTAGGCTGTATACTAGCTATAATAGTGACCAGGAGCCCTCAGTGGCACAATGGGTTAAAGCCTTGTGCCGGCAGGATTGAAGACCAACAGGTTGCAGGCCTGAATCCGGGGAGAGCACAGATGAGCTCCCTCTGTTAGCTCTAGCTCTCCATTCGGGGACATGAAAGAAGCCTCCCACAAGGATGGTTAAACATCAAAACATCTGGGTGTTCCTCTCTTGAAAATTCTCCATCTCGAGTGTGTTTTCTCTTTTCCATCAACTGAAATGTGATCGGAAAGTGATAGTACCAGAGTGTGAAATATTTGACCTTTTCAGAATTGCAAAGGCTCATCTTGCTTCTGTCTTTATTTCTCAATACATCTCCATTGTGTGCAGTTTCATTCAAACCCCTGAGATACATTTCATTCATTCCATTAGAACAGGCATATAAACAACCATATAAATAGCCAGTTGGGATGAATAGGGAATTGTCGCCCTGTAACAAAACAGTGTTACAACTCTTGGCTCTTTTTTTCCTTCTCAGGCTAGTGACTAATACAGAAAGGAGCAGGCAGGCAGGCAGGCAAGTAAAAACGTAAATGAGCTAGTCATTGTCATTGGTTTATTGTAAAGACTTTCTTCTACTTATATGGACATTGGATGGAAATTCTAGAAAAGAATATTGAATTCGGTTGTTGTAGGTTTTTCAGGCATATATGGCCATGTTCTAGAACAGAGGTTCTCAACCCCAGATGTTTTTGGCCTACAACTCCCAGAAATCCCAGCCAGTTAACCAGCTACTAGGATTTCTGGGAGTTGAAGGCCAAAAACATCTGGGGACCCCAGGTTGAGAACCGCTTTTCTAGAAGCATTTTCTCCTGACGTTTCACCTGCATCTATGGCAGGCATCCTCAGAGGTCGTGAGGTCTTCAAAAGCCTTCGACAATACACAGAATATTGAATTGCCAGATTAGTGTAATTCAGGAATGATTTATTTTATAGAATTTTCACTTTTTCTTCTGTCTGTGGTGAACAACATAAAACATTTAATAAACCATAGTAAAATAGACCAAGGGGCATCTGTATAAATACAGTAGGACTGGAAGCATTAGCAGAGTACAGACTGAACTTCAAGATGCCTGTGGAACAAATGAATATTGATGGGGTTGGGGGGCTGGCCAATCACAGCAGGAGGAGGGCTTTTGGTGGGAGGATTCACTATCTGTTTCCAAAAAGGAAGAGAAGGACAGATGGAGAAATCTTCAGCCTTCTCTGCCTAAGGGGTTCCTAAGAACACCAGAAATATGTATTTTCTGATGGTCTTTGGTGACCCCTCTAAAACCCCCTCACAACCCCCCTCCCCCCAGGGATCCTGACACCCAGGTTGAGAAATGCTTCTCTAGAGCTTGGTGATGCACATATTCCCTCACTCATCCCCAGGTTCATTCACCGTGGTGGGAGGAGAGGAAGGTAATAAGATTGGGGAGTGAGAGATGGAGATGAAGGAGGCAACAGAAGATAGGAGGATCTTCTCCAGCTTTCAAGGGCCAACTTGCAGTCATGAGAAGGCTTTCCTGGTTTCTCTCTGCCTCCTTCTCTCTCTCTGCCTCCTTCCTTCTCTCTCTCTCCCTTGCACCTCCGCCCCCCCTCCCCGCATTTCTCACAAGTGTACAAGCTTGTGAGAAAAAGAAGCCCAATTACTATATTTGCCATCCTCCCTGCCAAAGTTTTCCTCCTTCGACAGACTGTGCTGTCACAGTCACACTTGGGAACACATCTATGTCCCATCTCCCTGTATGGAACAGGAGGAGAAAGAGGGGAAAGCAATGCAACGTGATACACTGGAGAAATGGCAGGGATTGCATTTCCCCAAAGATTGAATCAAGACAGTAGAAAAGCATGAGAGGAAGGAGCTGAAAAGGAATTCATAAGAAATACCTTATGAGAATTCAGCAGACAACCTCCTTCCAAAACATTTGAAAAGTGGCATGTATACATAACTATATTTCTCGCTTTTTATGTAAAACCATTTTAAATCTTGATGATCACTGAATGCCTTCAAGTAATTTCTGACTTATGCCAACCTTATGGCAAACTTGTCACTTGGTTTTCTTGGCAAGATTTGGTCAAAGGAATTTGCCATTGCATTTCCCCTGAGGCTGAGAGGCTGTGACTTGCCCGAGTTTACCCATTGGTCTCTCAGAGTCCTAGAATCCATATCACTACCCCATGGTAGCTTTATTCTTGTAAAATCAAATTCAGTTCAATTAAAGTAGGATATATATCCATGTATCCTGTCACAGTCTCCATAGTTTGATACAGTTATGCTGGTACACAAATCAGGACAATTTGTTGCAAGGCTTGCCTTTGAAAACAGGATCTTATACAACTGTCAAATAAATAAATAAATTGATAGATAAATAAATAAATAAAGTCACTTTGGTATTAACTTGAAAGGGAAAAGAACAGAGTGAAAGATGTCATATCTGTGGATTTGGAAAATAAACCTCCACAATCTCATTCCTGCTGTGGTGTTGCCCTGCGCATTAGTCTCTTGTCCAGAATGACAAAAGCCTTAAAAACAGCAAATGTGTGTTTTTTCACTCATTATTGCTTAAGGACTTCTCATTACTTCTCTGCTGTTGTAATTTGGAACACATACAAATCTTCTCTCCCATTTTCAGCTTTTCTTCCCCCTAGGCTTTTTTTCTAGCTTCATTATCTAAATAGATTTCTTTTTTTTTCTTTTTTTGGAACAGCTAACAATATAGTTTATGCTGCTTTTTCAACAAATGCTTCTTTCTGAGTAAGAATGGTAGTATCTTAAAAATATGGATGTATACAAAATGGACTTAATATTATATACCCTGTAATGGGAGTGGTATGGACCACTTCTGGAGCAGTCTTTATGTGGGCTGGAGAGGACATAAAATATATTATATTTTACTGAATTCATAAAAGATAATTCAGGGGATGAAAAAAGAGGGCAAAGAAAACCGGATGAGAAGTATGTAAGATAGGAGTTAGGCATATACAAGCTGACCATATGACCAAAAGTACATGTTTATGTTTCTTTAGAATGAAATTATCTACTTCAACTAAATGTTGGAAATGTAGTGTAAATAATGTTTTCTTACAGCAGCCATCCTCAAACTGGGGCCCTCCAGCTGTTCGGACCTCCAGCTCCCCGAAAACCTAGGCAGCTCGCTCAGTGATCAGGGAGTTGGGGGCCCAAACAGTTTGAGGATATCTGTTTAACAGCATATGATATGGGCATGCTTGCTAGGTTGCAAAAATTGTGGGTATTTATATTTTATTGGAAACATCTTTGAGTTTTGTGACCATGTAGTTTTAAACAATATTCCTGAAATATAGAAATTCATTGACGCTTGGATCCTGCATGCTTAATTGTTTCAAAAGAAGCTAAACATCATGGTGGCAAAGATAAACAAACATATATTATTAAGTGGTCAGAAGATGTGACTGCTTCAATGTAGTGCATAGTAGATACTGCTCAGTCAGAAAATTGACTCGCACCTCTCATAATCCCTCAGGAAGCATGGCCACTGCCTCTGCTTTTTAGGGGGTTCCTGGGAATTGTAGTCCCATAAATTATTTTTTTCTGAGTTTGATTTTGCTGTGTAGTGGACCTTTGATATCCACTTAGGTTTGGTTCCAGGACCTCTTGTGGATATCATGGGGAGGTGGAGAGAGGAGAAATGACAACTCAATTTACGAAGTGGTTGTATGCACACTTGGTTGGATATGAACTTGGTAAATAATCATTTTTGTAATCATCAGTATAATTGGCTTACTCTTTGTATTCGTCCTCCTTTGCACTACTAATCTTCTCTTCCTGTTGTCAGCTCTACCACAAGTGAAGAACTGTTCATTCACAACTAATTGTGCCTGGATTTGTATGTACCTGATAGTGACCCATAGTTTGTAATCTAGATGCTAAATAAACCTAGTAAAAATAATTAATATGTGTATTGGTTGATTCTCTTTTCCTTGGTAATTCATGCTGTCATTTCAATATGTAGCCTAGCTTTCTTTCTCCATTGTATCTTATAAATTGCATAATTAGTTATTAAATGGAACCCGCATAGTCAAGTTTGCTGAGTATTTTTGTGCAACCTACCCAAAGTGTGTTTTTTTTCTTATAATTCTCCCTCCCCCCCCCCACACACAGTGACTAGGTATTCAGCTAATTTACATGGTGTTTGTCATCATTATAATATTTATAAGAAGAAAATTTCACCAATATGTTTTGAATAATTCTATATGCAATTGGATCATCTAAGACCCAGTTCATCTGAGCCTAAAATAACATAGTTACTTCTGCAAACTCACTGCCATCCCAATCAAAGCTTGGAGTAGTTACTTTTTTGGACTGTGGCAACTGGCGAATACTGGGAATTGTATTCCATAAAAATAACCTGTTTAAACTGTGGCAGGGAATATATACATTTTTGCTAAATATATATAGCTAAAGAAATAGATGGGTTCTTTTCACTGTTAATGCTACTATTTGTTACACAAGTACTTGGTAATTATTTGCTTGATAAGATAAGCATCAAATTTGTGGTTGCAGGCTCTTCTGAAACTGAACTGCCAAGGATTGGTAGCACGCATTACCCAGGATACAGTCATTTTTACTTCAGCCGTGAAGCTTGGAAAAGGCTGGAGGGACCTGGCTGAAAAGTTAGCTCGACTCACAAAGCAACAGATTGAAGCTTATGAAGCTCCCCACCGAGGGAAAAATGGAGATGTTCCCCCAGAGGTGAGGTTTAATTGATGTTTTCATCATATATTATTTTTCTACAAAGGTTGCAATACATTTTTAGACTCAAGTCAGACAGATCAGTCACTTGAAAGGAGGAGTCATATGCACACATTTTTTTTTTGATCCTGCTCTTGTTTCTGGTGTAACTGTAAGGCAGGTTTTAAAAATAATATAAAATTGTATTAAACCTGTGAAAGTAGGTAAAGTGCAGACATATCCTGAACTTTCCAGTTGTCTTAAAAAATCTGTAAAATAGATGCAGTTTTCTGTCTTACTCTTTGTTGTCTTTCCAATTCACCTCTCCAGTAGATCTTGAGTTCAAGGGGTGTTTGTTAGTAGTATACATGAATTATTAGCAATGTAAACATTGTGAGGAGCAGGTATATGGGTTATTTGGTGGTTTTTTCAGAATGCCAGTAGCAATAATCATGATGTGGATAATTACTGAGAGTGTTAAACTGTGGAAGGTGCACAATTTATGTGTAGTAAATAAGGAAAAGTGCAATGTTACACATCCAGTCCAAAGGAAGTGCTACTTACTCTTGGTTAAATATAGGATTGGAGCCCAGAAAAGAGATTTATTTCCAAATTCAATTTTAAAACCGTACTTTGGCCAAAGGAAAATTTAATAAGGACCTTGTTCCTTTCACTAGGCTTGAGAATGCCCTTTAGGTACTCAGATAAATGAGGCATTTCTCTGATGTGTTACTCGACTGGCACTTAAATGTTGGCCAAATGTTAAATCTGTCTTTAAATAAGATAGATTTAAGATCCTTCAGGAAAAAATGTTCTGAGGTGGAACCTTGTATTCTGCATATGTGGCTGTTTGTCACAAAAGAAACTGGATTTTACAGTGTTCCCAGACGCTTCTTTTAGACTGTGGGGCAATTTCTTATTTGGAGTCATTTGTCACCAATAGCCTTGGAATGCATGTATTGGTGGTCTCCATGATATTAAGCTGTCATCAAGAAACAATAAATGAAATATTTTCAAGAGCTGAATAGTTCTCTCTCTCTCTCTCTCTTTGGCCATTACCTTTCAAAGCTTACATCTGAGGATTTGATGGAACAATGTGTGCATTCCCCATGGTGTTTTTTTGTTGTTGTTGTAGCTTTGCTTTTTTCAAGGAAGGCTTAGAGCAGTGGTTCTCAACCTGTGGGTCCCCAGGTGTTTTGGCCTACAATGCCCAGAAATCCCAGCCAGTTTACCAGCTGTTAGGATTTCTGGGAGTTGAAGGTCAAAACATCTGGGGATCCACAGGCTGAGAACCACTGGCTTAGATTCTTTAAAACCAATGCTTCAGCCTGAGTAATACCATTGGGCAACTGGGGAAATTCCTTTGCCTAGCCACTCCCAAAATCCCCAAGTCACTGGCCATGCTGACTGCATAGTTCTGGGACATGTACTCCAAGACAAGACCTTTCAAGGTTCAGGTCTGACCAGACTGGCACAACTGAAGCCATGTGAGATATTGTCTCTTGCCTTCCTCATGCACATACTGTAACAATTTGCAAGTGGCAAGTTTACTTGCACACATTTTTCTTTGTGTAGGCTTTTAGAATACTTATAATTCTTTTGTACATCCACATTATGAGGAGCCAACTTTAAGGATGTCCATACGGGTTTGTTCCAGGCTATGTGGTTTCCAGAACAAACCCTGAGACCTAGGGACAGACCCTAGTAATTCCATTAAGCATTATGCATTAAGTATCAGCCACAGTGGTTTACAGTTTGTCATTCAAGAACATACAAAGATTGATGAAAAGAGAGGAGACAAAACATATTTTCCTGTTTGTAAATTAAGACAGAGATCTTAACTATAGGGCTGTTCCCAGATTAAGGTGAAATAAGGGGACTATTCCTTAAAGGAACATTTAAACTGGCTTTTTTTTTTTTTTGCTTCTGTTGAAGAGCAGAAGGAATGCCCTGGTACCACAATGACTAGTAATGTAAGTATAGTAATGTAAGTACAGTGAGCCCTTGATATCCACTGGGGTTTGGTTTCAGAACCTCATCTGGATACCAAAATCCAGTTGGTTTTCCAATGGATGCTGAAGTCCCATTATATACAACAGTGTAGTAAAATGACTGTAATCAGAAAAGAAATGTCTGACACTCAAGAGATACTGAGTTCTATTTAAAGCCTGCACAAGCAGGAATTGCTTCAACTCTCTTCTGCAAACCAGCCATAGAGGACTTGCTGAGTAAAAGGTATAGATAGAAAAAAATCCTCAGTGGGCTATTGCAGCCTCAGAGTCCTGCTCCTTGAGATGCCACCCAGCTAACATCAGAAAGAAGAAATATGCTGAGTGGCTTCTCTGATGAAGGTTATGATAGGCAAGTCCTTATGGAAACAGAAAGCACAGTAAATTTGTCATTTGAATCAAGAACAAAGATTCAATCCTGTAAAATAATACCTTACTTATCATTTGGATAGCTGGAGCTCCCGGTGGTGCAATGGGTTAAACCTTTGTGCTGGCAAGACTGCTGACTGAAAGATCGGATCTGGGGAGCAGGGTGAACTCCCGTCTGTCAGCTCCAGCTTCTCATGCAGGAACATGAGAGAAGCCTCCCACAGGATGGTAAAACATATGGGGGTCCCCTGGGCGATGTCCTTGCCGACAGCCAATTCTCTCATACTTGCAGTTTCTTAAGTTGCTCCTGACACGGAAAAAAAATGGGATAGCTCTTTCCTTCAAGCAAAGACTTTTGTCTGTTTAATACCCTGGCCCCTTTTCGGTTCAAGAACACAAGTTTATGAACAGAGATCAATGTTTTGATTTCACCCGTTTAATCTATGCATTTCTAGCATTCGATTTCATTTTTATTCAGGCTTTTTTATTTTGGTTTTTTTTTCTAATGGCACTAGGCTTCTGAAAAAGTGTCAATAGGTTAACCTTCATTTAATGTTTATCAGTAGAACTCTTGAGTCTTTTAAAAACAGTATTTGCTTATTCAGTCGGTCTGTTTGTACAGAGACGTCTCCTCTTGAATTACTTCCTGCCCTTCTGACTGCTGTTAAATGCAGTGGTGATAAGAGTGTGTCTCATTCCACTCTGCCTCCAGCTCTAGTTGTAAAACAGAAGGGAAGGAACAAGATGCCACAAACACAGCTTGACTTCCACAGCATGGGCTGAGTTTGCAAAACTCGGGTTTAGGAAGCCCACTTGTATTTGCAAATCAAGCTTAATTGAGAACATTTGATCCAGGAAGTCCAAGATCTGCAAGTTCAAGGTTATTTTTTACAGCAGCTGTCAGTTTGTGAGAGTTACCTTCATCCCTGATAGTAGCCTACAGCCTTTGTTGCTGTCAGTGCTCTTTTTCCACTGGCAACTTTGTATGAACTTTAAAAGTGGTGTCTTTGATACATTTTTAACAGATGGAATATCTTTAAAATTGTGCCTCTAAATATCCATTTTTAAACACTGTTCTCTATGCCACATTTCTAGATGCAGAGTAGAAATTCCTCATATATTGAAATGCAATTAGTTTAATTCTTAATTTCATTTTTATAAGGCAGATCTAAGCAAGACACTGTTCCACGGCATTCCTCTTGTCCTGGACTTGCTTTATCTGCTAACCCTCATTTTAACATCTGGAAGACCATTACAGAATAACCAATATCTGAATTCAGAATCTTACTTACATCCCTCCATCCCTCTGTTCTATACTAATTTCTGCAAGTTTGGTCATAGGCCTATATACACTGCAATGTAGTACAGTTTGAAACTGCATTTTATGGTCAGTGTAAGACTCATATAATGTAAGTCTCCACTGACCATATAATACAGGTTGCATTATGTAGAAATGTAGATGTGGCCATACTCTCTGTGCACATGTCTAGGGACAAGTATTGGTTCTCTCTAAAGAGAAGTTTCTGTCCATAGAACTGCTCTATCCTCCATGAAGGTAATTCTGAATTGTCAGTACTTGGTTTGTGAGGTTTATGTCATAACCATCCATTACATGCTGTTGTGTCTTCTGTAAAAGGAGACTAGAGAAAATTACACTGACTTTGAACCTGAGTTGCCATTTGTTGCCTTCACTATATTAGAACCACAAACCACAGACCACCTACTACAATGCAGCCTGAGCCATACCACATGCACAATGGGGGACCATCTCACAGTGACACCAGAGGCACTTATCATCAAATGACATTTAGCATCATGCCAAGTTCCTTTTAAAAACTTTGTGTTTTTAAATCCATTTTAACTGTACCCTCAACTTGCTTCTGACACAATAAACAAATAAATATATTAGAGTGTAACAACACTGAAGAATTAATGCAATTTGATACTACTATAACTGCCATGTCTCCATTTTATGGAATAATGAGAATTATGATTTTACAAGGTCTTTAGTCTTCTCTACTCAAGACTCCTATTACTTCACCAAACTACAACTCCCAGGATACCATAGCATTGAGCCATGGTAGGTAGGGTGGCATCAAACTGAATTACTTCTACAGTGTAGATGCTCTCTTATTTTTCTCTCCATATAAATCTTAATGATGAGAATTCACATTTCTAAAAATGTGGTACTAATAAGATCTAGGAGTTTCATATAATTTGTTGCGGAAGATAGTCCCCTCAAGTTCCCTTTATGCCTCATTACGATATTGCCTTTTATGAGTCAGAGTAATGGTTCATTTAGCCCAGTTCTTGCTTTCTGATTGATGGTTGTTTTGTAAGTTCGGTTATAAAAAGAAAATATCTGAAATTACTTGTGGCTCAAGATTTTCACCATTGCAATTAAACTTTTTATACCATGCATGAGGAGTGGCATTGCATTTTGTAGAAGTTCATTTAAACTTGGTTTTAAAATAATAACAACAACAACAACAACAAACAAACAAACAGCAGCAGCAACTTTATTTATACCCCGCCCCATCTCCCCGAGGGGACTCAGAACAGCTTACAACAGTGTAAATAACACATCAATAATCAAAATTAAAACAGGATAATAAAACAATAAACCAATAAACCAATCTAAATAGAATCAACACAAGTAATGAGTTGCTGCGGGCTGATATGGGCAGGATATAAATAATGTAAATAAATAAATAAAATCCATAAAAGTGAAAAAAAGTGAAAAGTGAAAAGTAAATAAAAAGTAAATAAAAGTGAAAAGTAAATAAAACATAATAAATTAAAAGACAGATATCCTTTAAAACCAGAATTATATGGTATAAAACAATTAAAACATCTCTACCACTGTTCAGGTTAGTGAGACCAAGGTCCAGTTTAAAGAGTGTAGTCCAATTAGGTTATCTGGCCATTGGTGTTGTTATGTTTAACTGTTATCAAAGCCCTGTTTGTAAAACCAGATTTTTCAATTCCTTCTGGAACATTGAAAGCATGGAGATTTGGCCTTGAGTCGCCTTTGGACTGAGAAAGGTGGGATATAAATACTGTAAATAAATAAATAAATAAATTTCCCTGGTGATGGTATTCCAGACCCAGGGGGCCACCACCAAGAAAGCCCTCTTTCCCCGTCCCTACCAACCACACTTGTGATGGATGTGGGGCCATGAGAATGTAATGTGGTCTTCCACTTTTCCTATTGCCTTCTACTCTGCTAAGCAGGGCCGTAGCCAGAAAACATTTCGGGAGGGGTTGAAATTTTCAGGTTTTTTTTTTTAATCGGGGGGGGGTTGAAACCTGCCTCCTAGCTCACGCTGAAGCAAAGAGCACAGCAGGGGCAGAGCAGCCTTCAATAGCCTGCAGCTCCGCCCCTGTCAACCACCTCCACCAAGTCTGGCCTCCTTAATGAGAGCATTCAACACACACACTCCAACTTGGTTGCTTCACTACATCGGCTATTGCTGCAAGTAATGACAGTGTGAATAAATTGTCAATATTTGCTTGAGATAGTGCTTGCAGTTCTGGAGGGACTCTTATTTTTTTGCATCTCATAGACTTAGCATGGGGATTTGGTTAACCAGTTAAAATTCATGAGTAAACCAGGTTTTTTAAAAAAATCTGAAACATTTCGGGGGGGGGGGGTTGAACCCCTAACCCCCCCCCCTCGCTACAGGCCTGCTGCTAAGTGTTATTTTTATAATAAGTCATGATATCTCATGAGGTGTCCATAGTATGAGAGTCTCATTTTGACCTTTAGAGGGGATCCAGAGTTGATTTGTTCCCAGGCCCTTCATATTCTGGCCTACCCTTTGGTAAATTTTCAAACAGAAGATTGTACCCTTTAAAGTTAGACATATAGAATTAGTTTATGAACGAATTCTGTTATATTTAAGTATCTGGAGTATGGATTGCTGGATCTGGTGTACTAAATTGGATGGACTTATCTTTAGCCCATGGCTATAAATATTTTGGTTTCAGGTTAACAATGCTTCTCAAGCAGACATAAGATTTTTCTTATCATTTCTAATTTCATTAGGAATGAAAACTGATCTGTGTCTGGGTGCATCAGTTTTGACAATACTTTGAGTGTGATTTTAGTGTTTTTAACAAAGTTGCACCTAAAGTTTTCCTTTTGCTGTTGGCTTCTTGTGAATCTAAATATAGCATGCCTAATATTTATTCCACTGCAGATGATGTGGAAGCCAGCGTATGATTTTCTGTACACCTGGGGAGCTCACTATGGAGACAGCTACAGGGATATGCTGCAAGACCTGCAATCTGCATTAGATAAAATGAAAAACCCTGTGACCAAACACTGGCGAGAACTCACAGGAGCTCTGATTCTGGTTAACTGCATGGAAATTCTCCAGGCAAATGCTTTCTCTAAAATGGATGAAGAATAACAATTGTCTTCTAATTGGTAAAAGCACCCTATACGTCTTCTCCCTAAAATGCAAAGACATGCAATGGGGTCATTTCTATTAAAAACCACTGAGTGCCTTTTATCAAAATTATGCCTCCTTTTGTATAGTTTTTTTTAAATGAGCCATTCAAGTACAACCAACTTCACCTGTTTTTATTCTTGCATGTCTCAATACTTGTTGATACACAGCAGTTATGATTCAAGCAACTTGTGATGGGATGTAAAATAATGTTTTAAGAATACAGCTTGGACAGCAAGTGTAAGACTTTCTTAGAAAAGATATTTTCCCCTAGAAATTATTGTGTATAGCTGTTGATGTCACTCCTGACAAATTCAGCTAGAAGATCTTCATGAATGTACATATTGTTAAAAAATTCAATAATATTTCTTTATTGCATATATTTTTTATTTTATGCTTGTATAATTTTCTGAATATTTCAGTACCAGTAGAAACAGACTGTTTTATCAATGCATCTATTGTTGGCCCACATTTATCCATGGTGCAGTGTTGCTATTGGCAACAAAAGAAGCTGGTTCTGCAGTGAAGGGAAAAATAATTCTTTTCCAGGGCTTAGAAGAATAATCTTTACTTTCGCAACTCCTGACCTCTTCTTCAAGGTCTATGGACATTTTGTCACAAATAACTTAAAAGTATAGGTTCTTTTTATTGCAATTTCCAGTGTGAGAGGATAGATCAAAACTTTTACAGAACTTTTACTTTATACAAATAATGACATTGGACATACAGACATATAGATTCTATGCAACTACATTGGATTCACAAACAACTTAACAGTTATATTAACTAACAAACAAACAAAGAAACAATTTCATTTTTGCTCCGCATTCACACACATGTACATGAATCCATCACCATGCATCCAAATATTACCATATCCTTTTCTCCCTCCTTGAAGAAAAAACCTGCTTACGCCAGGCTCTGCTTTGCTTGCAGCCTGCCAACATATAGTTCCAAAACTTCCATAGCTTCTAAACTCCAAAATGTCTTTCCCTAAGAACAATGCCAAGGACCATACCTCTATTTTCCATACAGGAGACTCCCTGCAAACGTATCATGACTCCAAAATGCACTCCTTCCTCTTCCCTTGAGAAAGAGACCCCAAAGTGTACAGAATTCTGCTTTCCCATAGCAGATCTGACACTCTCCATGGTAGACTATCTCTCTCCTTCCCAATAGAGCAGAGCATAGAGGGTAAACAGTGTCTCTGTCTGTCACAATTTGAGGATTATTAGATTGAGTATTTTATAGGAATATTCTGCTGATATAGTCCCAAAGTTGTAAATTAATGATAGACGTCTTCCATCCTGGCTCCAAGTTGATTCCATCTCAGTTTCCTGGCCAGATGTTGATTCTTCTTGATTGTTGTTAGCTTTGTGTTGACTTCCTTCTTAATATTGTAAACATTTATCTTATCACTGTCACAGTTCTTATCACAGCTTACTATGGAGGTCAACCATTTCAGTTCCCATTAGCAACTTTTAATTACAGTCCAGCAAGCAGGTAGTTAGTCATTGCAGGCCCAAGTATTCGGAATGTTGTCTCCAAAATTATTAACACTAATTCATTCATTTCTTTCATTAAATTCCATTTATACCCACACATATTAAATCCACATTTATCAAATCTGCACATTATATTTCTTGTGACAATTTTATTTACTTCATTTTTTCATTCAATTCCATTCAAACCCGCACATATTAAATCCACATTTATAACATTTGAACATTATATTTCTTGTGGCAATTTTACTTACTTCAATTCTAAAATGCACTTTTCACCATGTATACATATCTGAAAATGGAGCACATTTTAGAATTGCCAATGTTTTTTTTATAAATATAAATAAAGATTTTTGTTGTTGGTGGTTTTGAAATTAATACACATCTACAATCAATGGTGTCTTACAATCAAAGAAATGGGCTACATGCCTTTCCTATTTGGTTACAGGACAACTAGCTTGCTTCATATATAGAGCCACATGGCAATCTTCCACATTTGTGGTCACATTGTGGCACTTGTCTCTCACTATCCCCCAATGAAATACGTTTTTCCTTGTCCTTTATTCCTAACTAAACAGAATATAATCACAATTACCCAGTGGCAGGTTTAGTATTTTCAAAGTGACTGAGAATTTTGGGAAACTGTCATCCAAAACAGATCCATTGTCCTAATGCAGGTTAAACATTCAAGAATGCTTGCTACTGTCTATTTCTACTTAATTCCTTTTATATAGTGACTACAAAACAGATTCTTCAGTAGATTTATATACTTCCAAAATTGTAAATTTCTCTTTATGTACACTTGCAATGGATCAGATGTGCTGATTGTAACTCACAGCATTCCCAACCAACATGGCCAGTGGATATGCTGACTAAGGATGATGGAAGTTATACTTGATCTTGGCACATTTTGGGTGCTAACTCAGAGAGGCTTGCACTATGGGATTGTATAAAGCTAAAACGTTTTTCCTATTATTAATTTTTGTACCAATTCTACTTTCTCTTTCAATGCAGTTAAATACATTTGGCCAAACAAACTCTTGGAGTAAGAAAAGACTTTGCCTGCCTCATTTATGGTATATTATTCCTATCCAATCTAAACTAAGTGTCTAGTGGGCCTTATTCCCATGAACATTTCTGTAACATTATGGCTTTAATCTAGATATGGTTTGATTATTGGCTTAGTCTCTCTAGCCATTATTCTAAAATATATTCCACTTTCATTAAATACAAGCTTTTTTTGCCTTTCTTGCTGAAGAACAACTTATCTGCACTGTTTCAGTTTGCTTGACCAAAATGATAAGAACACAGTGAAGAATTCTGAGGTTGCAAGGGGAGGAAATGTACCATTATTTGTCTCCTGGAAATGTATGTCTTCCTCAAGAATCCCACCAAATACTATCCATTCATGTAGAGTTGAGTTAAACCAGGGTGGGCAACTATGGAAGGCAGTCCTTGAAGTGCTGTACCATCTGGTGCCCTTAAACCTCTAGAAACACTGAGACATTCTCATCATTTGGGGGGGGGGTGTCAGTATCATGATTCATCTTGATGCAAAAAAAAAAAATGGTTTGGGAGGCCAGGGAAGCACCAAATGCTGTGAAAATGCCCTCTATGGTCTTTCAGGTCCTTTTTGTGGGCATTTATTTATTTATTTATTTATTTGCAAAAAAATCGAATTTTTGGGGCTCTGAGAACCACAAATATAACCCTGGGAGACACCTGTGGTTTTGCCTACCCCAGTCTGAAAACAATCATACACCTTATTGAGTTGCGATGTCGTTAAGGCATTGCTAAATGAAATCCAAATTATCTTTGAACCGGATTATATTGCAGTGTAGACTCATATAATCCAATTCAAAGCAGATAATGTGGACTACGTGCTTTGATAATCTGGATTATATGGCAGTGTAGTTGGGGCTGTAGTTAAGTAAACATGCAGGTAGGGAGAAAAGAGTTCTTTCCCCTCTTAGATTGCTCTCTCTCACATAGACAATAATATTCAGAAGAGGAGTGGCTCTACACACGAATTCTGTCTGCTACATCTGTAATCCTGAAAAAAAAGGTTCCCAGTCATGTGGAGAGAAATAACAGAGTAGGTGGTGCTAGTCTACTCTACTTCAATTTTGTTACTTAACCCACATAAAACGTTCGATGAATAGCAGACATTGCCTTGCAGACATTGAAGCTGCAAGGCCATTAAATACTAAACAAGGTGGCCAATTGCAACATTCACACATGCCTGCAACAGACAAGAGTTCTTCCTCCCTCCCTGGACATTCCACAGATATATTAACCCACTTGCCAAGTTTCCAACAGATCTCACAACCTCTGAGGATGCCTGCCCTAGATGTGGGCAAAATGTCAGGAGAGAACGCTTCTGGAATATCGCCATACAACTTGGAAAACTAACAGCAACCCAGTGATTCCAGCCATGAAAACCTTCAACACATTCCATGAATAAATTTATAATTACCTACCTTTTATTAACACCACATTCTTCTACTGGTTATAGTTCCAGATTAAAACCATTATAGCCAATAAGTTTAACGATCATGTGTGTGTATGTATCTTGCACTATTCAGCAGAATTAACAAGACAGATGGACTTTGTTATTTTGGCCACTGGTTTAGAAAATTGCATTGGATAGACTACATCAGCTGTAGTTTCTTAGATTTGGTTATCACGATTTTCTATGGATGAGCAGATGGTGACTTTCTGTATCTCCATATTTCAAAACCTAGAGCTAATAGGGGAACACTGGTGCCATTTTTTGAATCAGCAGGTCAAATATATGCAGAAACAGGTCTAACATTTGAGGCACCAAAATGTGTGTTGGTCAGTGTTTCAGATAACTGAAGGATTCTTAAGCAATTATTCTCTCTTCTAGATGTTCAGCGTTTTGAATAGTAAAATATTCCTACCAACACTGCAACAAAACCTATCCAAACCCCATGTTTACAGTTGAATGCAAGATGACCCCTTTATCTGTGGGAGATAAATTTCTGGACTTTGCATGGATGCATTAAAAACTGGATAATAAAGAGGGGGCAGCTTGTACAAGAGGCTCTAAATGAATCCATGAAATATGTATAAGTGAATCTGTGTTTGTTCATTGCACAAATTTGTGGTCTACTTTGTTCCAGTTGTCAATTTTCCACTAATAGTAATTTAATGTTACAACTGAAATGTTAGCTCAACTGTCAGTATTTTGTTTCTGTGTAAGGGATGCCAACTATATTAGAGATCCCAGGTGGGCTTTATCTACAAAAGGTGAATTTAAGAGAGGGACAACCTCTGTAAGGCAGCTTTGATTTATCTCCTTATATCATGTGTTGTGCTCCCCCCCCCCCCCCCCCCCCCCCCCCGGAATCACAATTTCAAGCTGGTATTGTGATTTTTCTTATTTCTTTGTTATTACTATTTTGAATAATACATTTTGTATATTTGAATTAAACAGACACATTTGACTCTGGTTAAGGAACTGGGAGATGTCACGGTATCATTCACTGGACCTTTATTTTTATACTTGCCTATATTCCTGTTACTGCTGAAATTTAACTTTAGGTTTCAATTCCATGCTCATGAAGATTTATTG